GATATATATATATATATATATATATATATATATATATATATATATATATATATATATATTGGAATGATGTATCATTGATTCAACAAATACACCACATCTAAGGAAATATATTTTTTTCCTTTTCTTCAATTCTTCTAGGTTGGAACGACGTATTAAATCATTGATTTGTTCAGTCTTGATTGGAGGAGGATTAGTTATCTCATACTATAATTTCATGTTTCTGATAAAAAATAATAACGGCATATTGCTGTTGAAAAAAGGAAAATAGCTGGCCTCGGTGTTTTGGCATGAATGGAACCCATAGGAGGAATTTGATAATTACTCGTCTACTTTGTGATTTCTTATTCCATTGAGAATTACAGGATTCCAGGCAATTCATAAAATAATGAAGCCCAAACTGAAATTTAAGAAACCAGATGAATGCCGATAGGGTAGACTGATTGTGCCTAGGAAAGAGTTGAGCAGAAGATGTTAAGAATTGCCACCAATGTCTTTTGGTAAATTTGCTTGGATAAGGAATAAAAATACCGTCAATAAATGAGGATTCTGACTCCAAAATTTAGATGGTCCATTCATAGTTTCGCAAAATCAGTTTCTATTACCATAAAGCATATAAAGTTACCAAACTTAATTGTTTTGGTGCAAGTAAATCTATAGTCCAATTTCTGCTATAGAAAGGAGACTTCTAAAATAATAAATGCATAGATAAAAAAGAAATACCTCAAATGAGGGCAGTGCCCAACGAACACAAGGTTTTGGCATCGGAAAGCTCTCATGTTCAAGTGACTTGATCTTATTATATGTGCACTCTGATACCAGTAGTCGTTTCATGAGTACACAATGTTGCAGAAGCTTAGAGTCAAGGCATAGCCACTTCGACTTTTTCAGTTTGGAGAAACTATAAAATGCAAAAAGGTGCTGCTTTCTTAGATCTTGAATGCAAGAAAGTCTGAACCTCATTGAGGTCTCTGGCAACTGCATGTCAACATTCCTCTGTTCAGCAGGTTGATCGAACACTGTCAGGATGAGGAAGATTAAGGCTACAGCATGTTCCAGGCAGCCTTCAAACAAGAGAGATCTCACCCCAACAACAGTGTCGACGAAAAGAATCTCCATCATTACAGTAGGTGATGCAGTCACAATCGCACCATGATGAAGCAGTAGCACAGTATGGGACAGCCAAATATCTCCTTTCCCAAGTAGATATTCCAGGAAAGGCAAACGAGGTACGCATATTTCAATTCTCAATCTTTCAGAAGATACTAATGATGTACTTAATCTGAGGTCATTATCATAATCAATTGACCATGACAGCTTGGTAATATCCACACATCCGGAATATAGCTTGTAACCTTCTGTAGTCTGCATGCTATTCATAAGTGGTGCAGGAAGGGTAACCTTGCCCTTACAGGTAGAACTTTCACGTGCTTTGCCATGTCTAGAAGCAGAAGAGAACCCTTCACTATTGCTGCGAAAACGCTTCCTCATATACACTACAGGATTTCTATTTTGGAAGTTAGTTTGGGTTCCAACACGAGATTTGGCGACCCTTCTCACAACATCTGAATCATCTGGCAGTGTTACCTGACTCCTGTCGCTTTCAGAGGAATCCAAGCCTTTGATCTTGTTATCTGATTTGTCAACCCACGGCTGAGAGACCACAGGAAGATGCGCTTGCATGGTTTTCTGTTTCTTCAAAGAATTAGGTAAAGGTTTGACACAACGAGATGATCGAGCCAGCCATGATATAATGGGCTCTGAGTCCAAATATGTCCCTACAGAGCTATCATCATCATCAGCCATGCCTGCTTTACCTTTATGAACAAATTTATCAACTCTGGATGGTTTTTTGGATTTCGCATTGAAAGGAACCTCACTAGGGAGAAGCAAGAGTTTAAACTTCTCGTTTTGAAGATTAATCCATTCCTCGTCTTTATCATCATAGTTTATATGATGAAGCTTACTCTCGGAATCATACTCACTCACAAGGCCATAATACCAAGTTTCATCCAATGGCCAGAAAACTTTGATTCTGCGGTTCAAAACCCAGTATGCATCCACGTCCCCTGAAAAAATCTCATAGAAATGACGGCGTTTTCTTGAAATGCGCTTCCCTTTGTGCTCTTTCCTTGGTCTAAGGTTCCTGATGTCAGTATGACCTGAGGCAGACTCCAAACCAGCAGATGAGTTAGCCTCTCGACTAACCGTATCTCGAGCAGAAGAAACCAGATAAGAGAATCCATTAGCACATCGTGATACGTCAGATTTGCTATTTGACAAGAATCCTGTACAGCTTGGATCAAATCGAGATGAAAGCATCCTAGCTGCATTCTGTTCCAGGTTCTCCTCATCATCATTGTCGTCATCAACATCATTTTGAAAATCAATGGCGTGATTAGCTGAGACTAAATTACCCAATGAAGGCTCAGTCTTCTTTGATGCAGTTCCACTGCCCGCACTACCAGTGGCCAAAGGTTTCCTCTTTCTAATGTTGCTCCACCGCTTTTCAGAAGAAGTACCACCATTATTTACACCAACACGACAGTCTTCTTCCTTATCTCGTCGAGCTGCTTTCGTCCTGCCCTCCTTAACTTCATCATGGCCAAACCTTCGCTTTACTTTTGAACTACCAATCTTTGCTGCAGAAATGTCTACTACCTTAACTATCTCATCATCTGGACCACCTCCGTCCTCGTACTTATTAGTTTCAGCACTATATTTTTCAACCCAATCAACAGAATTAGAAATTCCTAGCTGCTTAGAATCCTTATTACTTTCAAACTTTTTCCGCCCCACCAAACCACGTGGACGTCTTGGAATCTTAAAAATGTTGGCTTTTTCGCCCAAAGCAAGCGAAATGTCATTCAATCCATTAGTGCCACTGCTGGATTTTGTTTTCAATTCCAACTCAGCCGTCACCTCATTGACACGCTCCTTCCTATTCTTTTTAGCCTGGGGATCAAAATGACTCAATGGCACCTCCTTCCTACTCTTCCTCTTCTTCTTCTTGTTAACATCTTCACGGTGGTTTTCTTCAAAAAATTCCGTTTTACTCCGTACCTCTTTGGAAATCCCAGATTTATAAAGGCTTTGAAGATCTAAAGATCTGCTCTTCCTCGGACTTTTAACACCTGCAGAATTTTCTATGCTATTTTCCATCAACAATCCCTCAATCCAATCACCCCAAGACAATAACCCCAAATTTCATCTCCCATCCAGATCTGCCGCACAGGCCCCACCAAAAAAAAAAAAAATCAATAATCAACCAAATTTCAATATCCGAACTCAAGATAACCCACAAAAATAAAGAATTTCAACTGATTCCACAAAAAATATCAAATGACACTAAATAAAACTAAAAAAATCACACATAAACGTTACTGGCACATATAAATACTATTTGTATAATACATCCATTCTCTTACCCGTCCTGGAAATTAACGAAACAACGAAGATGGAGCAGTGAAGATCCCGCATACGAGAGAGATTTGATAAAGCAGGTGAGGAGGAGAATAATTATATTTTGAAACCCTAATTTGATTTAAGATTTTGCAATTTTTTTTCTTTTTTAAAAAATTGATATTTTTTTGGAGAGAGAGAGCGCGCTGGGGTTTGTTTTCCTAAGAGACACGTAAGAGTCAAGGGTTTAATAGAAATTCAGGGCGAAAAAGATGAGAAAATACGGTAAAAATAGTTACATAGCGTGTCATATTTTCGACCGTTGAATTTAAACTCTACGGCAAGGATTGGATGCCTGGGTTGCTGGAACCCTAATGGAAAGAAATAAAAATCGAACATTAGAATAGATCCGACGGTTGTAATATAATTATAATAAATGAAAAAGGAGACAATGTGATTAGATGACTTAATTTGGAAATTATTCGATGGATAAGAGGTTTAAATTTACAAATCTGAATAACCGTTTGGGGCTTGTGAAATGTGAATTGGACGTGGAATTTGGTAGAATTACGAAAATGCCATTACAAAATGGAGAAAAAAATTGACACGCAGGTAGAGTAGGTATCTGTCATGCTAGGTCAGTTTGCTCGTGACTCGAATATTTCTTCAGAAATTAATGCTATTTAATTCTATTGAAATTACAATCTCAATTTAGGTGGCGTTAATATGTCATTAAATGATAGATATAGCCCTTGTTTGAGCAATTGAACCTCATTCTTTTTAAAATTAATTTTCAACCACATTTTTCAATAAAATAATATTACACATAAATTCAAAACTTTTCTTTAATATTTAATCATACATTCTCCATCAATCTACTATTTCAAATACATTATTTCCCCCAAAATAGGGCTCAAAGAAGGGTATAATTAAATAAGTCATTTAATTTTTCTTTTCATTCAACTTATCATCTAACCTCATTTAAATTGGGGTTATAACCTTATTGGGACCGTATAACGTTATTCTTTTTCAAAGGGTCCATGAGATATGATAAGAAAACCAAAATTAATGACATTGTGCTATACTATAGTAGTGTCATCAAATTAAGAAGAAAACAAGATTTAAAATAAATTAAAGAGTTTGAGACGAGTTCGGCGCGAACATGTGAATACTTGAAATAAATGTCGCGTGCATATTTGAAAGAGTCGAGTCCGTCATAATTATCTAAAAATAAAGTCAAGATAGACCAAATGACGAATGAATGTATGAACACATATTGCACTATTTATCGCATACTCGACTCTTTCAAATATACACGTGACACTTATGGTAAGTATTCACGAGTTTGAACTCAAGCACTAAGTAGGTACTGGTTTGTGTGATAATAGGATTTAAAGATTAAAGTTACAAAAAGGTAAATTTGGTTCTCCTAATTTTGATAAATCAAAATGCCTCTATGGTTAGAATGTAGGTCGAGTAGAAAGTACATGAAATTTATCGATCTCAAATTACTGTACGACTTTCGTCCAATTATTGCATACTGTTTGAAAGTTTATGGACAACAATGTAGATGAAGAATGCATCGAGAGCAAAGGTTACACTCTCCTTAAAAGAAGTGGAAACTTTGATTTAATTGTCAAAAATAATAATAATAATAATAAATAAATTATCCTCTTCAATATTTTATTAAAAGTTCAAAATTAGTAACTTTCGATATCTCAATTTTTTTAAATAGTAGTATATATATGTGCGTTGCACGTGTAGTGGGTGATGTAGTGTAAGTAAAAATGTTGGATTTTAATGGAAAATGAAACCTCTTTTGAATAAGATTACATTGGATTATACAAACAGATCATAATCAGTATACTTCAGATTAGTACAATTGTGACTTCAATGCCATCTATCAATGTATTCTCTAGGTAACTTGGAGTCTGAATGCCTAGTTTGCACAAGTGTTTGAGGTCTTCATTTTGAATAGAAGAACAAAATTAATTGTACCCAATTTCCACCAAATTTAGCTATGAAATTAACTATTGGCATGACATTCATCTACTTCAATTTTCTTCCAGCATAGGAAGAAATCATAAGTTAGCTCAAAAAAAGATAAAAAAAAAATAATATCAATGCCAAGATCATACGAAATTTATGCCTGTGTGTTCCTTCACATAATCAAATCCACCCTGCTCAAAGATACTCCGGTGTTATAATGAAACAGAGAGAGTTGGAGAGACACATAATATTATGTAATTGGAGGCATAGTATTCATGTCATGACACAATATTACTCCCTACAATCACTAAGTACACACAAGAAAGTGTTGAAGACCAATTCTAACAACTAAAGCAACACAAACAAAGTTCTAGAAATCCTAGGAGTACTTAATACGTCCTGGAGAGACACATAATATTGTGTAATTGAAGGCATAGTATTCATGTCATGACACAATATTACTCCCCACTAAGTACACACAAGAAAGTGTTGAAGACCAAATCTAACAATTGAAGCAACACAGACAAAGTTCTTGAAATCCTAGGAATACTTAATACATGCTGCAAAATGCAACCATTAGGACAAGTAATAGTAGTAGGTTTAAACTTTGGAAGCACATCTCATTATAATTGACATCATTTTCGCTCTTGTAATATTTGGTGTATGCCGATTATTATTATGTGGAACATTATCCAATTTCTAGAAAAAGTGCTGTGCCAAAATTTTCCGTTAAGATATTGGAGTTTGTTTAATATCTCCTAGCTATACATCTTTTTGGTTTGTTTAATATCTCCGAGGAAGATTTGTCATTTTACGAGCTATGAAGTGCTAGGTATGGGAGCAGATATTTTTTGAAAGCATTGCTAAAGAAATAACTAATGGTAAGATATATTTCTTAATAGGAGTAACTAACACCAAAAATGCCCCCCAGGGCACATCCCAACTGGCAAAGATAAGGGCGTTTCAAGGCTGACAGATCAGAGGTCGTGAGTTCGATTTCTGGAAGGCTCTTGGAAGGCAGGATTTATCCTGAAAGGCAGAAACTCTACTAGAAGGTAAGGTGCAAAGATGGGAAACAATTTGCTTGGCACTTTGACAGATCAGTTGGGGGGCTCTTGAGCACTGGTCAGTTTGGGACACAACTTGCAGTTTAATCAGTCTGCAGCTTGAGGGGCCAAGATGTAGACTCCAGGATTTAGTCACTGTAAGGTGGATACCTGAATATAAAAAATAAAAAATAAAAAAAAAACTAACACCAAACCATTACAATAGCAACTAAACTGGGTTCTAAACATGTGTATCGTGTTAATTTTTGCTTGTTGCTCTCTATAAAATTTTCCATGTTTCTGTAGAAAAACTGGAATAAAGCTGGCCTATGATAGTCTATATCAGTACCCTTCATCTAGATTGATGCCATGCTCACTTCAGGCTGAAAGAGGGCTGTTGAATGCCATTTTTGTCATTGAGGATTCTCTGAACCTTGGCAAAGATGTGCAAATCTGATTGTATTTTGACCCATGTAGTCCCAAAGGTCTCTTAACAAGTCCCCCTGCATTTCAGGAGAAGGTCGTGTTATATATTTATGGTATAAATATAAAATATGAAAGAAATAATCAAATTATGTAAAGTGCCATGGTGGTGGGAAATGTGACATTTGTGTGGGACGTCAAGGGTTCGAATCACTCCCCACGCAGATATTAAAATGTTTTTATTGGGGCCTTGAGCTCTTGGGCTTTCTTGACTAAAATAAATGATTTTTTTTATTATTTAATGGGTAAAACTAGCCAATATTTTCTGTTTTTTTGTTTTTGTAACAACTCACTAACAGTCATTAAAATACTCACTACTCAGTCATTAAAATTCTGCATTACTCTCTGAATATGGTGGAGACTGTTACTTCCACCTTGCCTATATAAACCCATATCTCGTTTTGGGAAAAACACATAAAAAAAGACATCGTGCTGTCACAAGACTTGATCGGACGTTAAGTTTTATATTTCGACATTATATTATTCTGAACACTACTGCAACTAATTATTTTTCCAACAGGTCGTTCTAGTTTTTTAATCAGTTAATGTTTGTGGACGGAATAAATAAGAATCCTTCCTTATTAAACAAAATAGAAATTAGGGGAATGTCGCCACATTTGTTTTAAATTTATTTGAAGCTGCTTCTGAAATCTGTTCTAACAGCTGGAAGGTATTTTTGGGGGTTTTCTTCAAAGATAATTCATTTTATAGGCCGCTATAAGAGTGAGAAGCAGCCTGCCATTGTTATAAGCTATAATTTGGTGGCAAGTTATGCTCAATCATTGAATTTTTCAATTATATGCTAGCTATCCTTGTAGTTTATTGGGAATATTGCATAGGTTATTGTTGTTAAAGTAGATTATGTTGGATGGCTTAATTTGATGGAGGTTGGTGAACTTACCGGATTCAGGTACTATTCCATGCAGTAGTTTCCTGTTGCAAGTAGCCTGGAACTTATTGGCTCGGCTGATTGAAAGTTAACTGTCCTAAATTTGAGAGGAAATGCAAATCTTTTAAATTTTCGACCTCGATGGTATGGAGTCCATGACCATCTCCCATAAAGGTTAGGTTGAATTTCCTATTCAGGGTGAAATCGACACTATATTGTCAACTTTATGAATAGGCATTGAGGGCCTGCTATTTGTACTCAAGTATTACAATCACGATACATGTATTTGGCATATTGCTGGTGAGCACATCATGATATTAAACTAGAAAAAGAAAGTTAAAATCATGATATTAAAGTTAAAAAAAAAAGAGGTTAAAATCTTGGCATATTGCCAACACATCTCAATATTTGGATATGCTATTTGTGTACTCATATCTTCGTTACAACCGCGATGGCATGCATTACAAGACGACATTGAAGCTAAAATCTTGGATGGAAGATTATTAATTTATATCTCAATCTTGATTCTTGCAGCTGTTGTTTGTTTGTATACTATCGTACCTGTGTTACAATCACGACCATATTATGGGCATGTTTCGGTGCAACAATATTAAAAAAAAAAAAAAAAAAAAAAGGAAACAAGAAAAGAAGTTAAAAACTTGGATGAAGATAATTGTTATATAGAAATTTTCTTTATAGCTTTGCTTGATGGACCATGATCCAGCTTTTATTGTATGAAAGCTTATTAGGGGAGCGTTTGTTTCTCATTTTAGTAAAAATAAGAATGAAAAATATAATCGTTATGAACAAATACAAAAAATAGAAATTCAAATTTGGTGATTTGATGTGATGGATAACGATCGTATTTTTCAATTTAATGAGGAAATAATGAGAATCAAACAAGGGCTAGATGTGAAAGTGGAATTATGAAAGTCCTTATATTATTTTAGATGATTTTCATTTAAAAGTTCTTCTAGCCATACAAAGTATTTTTAAAAAATTATCTAAACATATTTAAAAGCAGTTTTTTATTTCAAAAATAACTTTTGACTTTTGAAAAGTCCTACCAAACGGATCCTAAAATTTATTTCATGAAGTTCTATCTTAATTATATAAGGTCCAATCAAATACCAATTCATAATCAGTTTAGACAACCAACTTTCTATTACTAGTCTTTATGAATTGTATTTTTTCCTCGGGTTTCTTGTAGATTGTTGAGGACCTAATTCATATAATTTGATAGCTTGTGGACCTTGGTTATAATTTGCTCTACCTTGATTCGTAAATTGTAAAATAAGCTCATAATTATATTGACATACAGGTAAGGTATGTAGGGAATTGATTTAAACATGCACAGCGGAATTTAACAGATTTCAATTCCCATTCAGGATTCAGCTTTGTATTTAGATAAAAACTGTGATGAGAAATATACCTTTTGTGTGATTTGCAAACTCTTTCGCGTTATTCCTTTCCAGCACCTTGAATCTGCCTCCCACAGCTGTCCAATTGTGCAGCCTCCAATGAAATCCACACAGAGAGAAAACAGCAACTGCTAGGGTTTCTTTCTTGTGCTAGCAAGAATAATGAATGACTTAATGGATCTCAAACCCTAGCTGCATATATATATAAACCCAAATGGACCCGGTCCGGTCCGGTCCAATATTTAATTAATCCAATTAATCAAACCCGGTCCGTGAATTAATTAATCTAATTAATTAATTCGGGATTATAAATAAGAAAATCAATTAATTAATTTATCCAACGATTGTTAAATTAATCAATTAACAATTTGCAGTCTTCCAATTCTCTTTTGTGTGCGACCCATTAGGTTCCCGACCACGATGCCTAACGTCGTGAAATATTATTTTGATCTAATCAAAATCGATAAATTAATACACCCTTTTAATTTATTGTCAATTCACATTCGCCGTCCCTGATTGACATCTAGCAATGTGTCAGGGCAATACATGTGACGGGAAATGTCACGTGGTATGACAAAACCAAAATCGTTCGTTTATCATGGAACTATTATCCCTTCGTCAATACGATCCGATCAATTACGAGATATACGACCTCAAGTCAAAGGACCAATTCCACTACCGAACGTTAGAGATTAGCCACTGACACTCAGATAGTTATCCATGTGGAATCTCTTAGCGGGTCTCCAATGTTTTGTTCTATAACAAAACATCCACGTGTTCATTTAAGTGTCACCACACTTTAGCTCGTGAGATCAACTACTTACTTCATAAGTAAGAAATGCCACACGTGATGGTCTAACTGTATTAACGATATCCGTATCTCGTTATTACTTACGACCATGGTTTATTCAAGATCCAATTATATGTAATTTGTATCTCACAATCACAACTCCTTGTGATTAACAGATTACCTAAAAATTGGGTCTTCGGATTCTATTATTTAATATTATTTATTACAAAATTAATTTAAATAAATAATAGATCTCGCCAAAATCAAATGCATTAAATATATTAAAAGCGTTTACAACCTAAATCGATTGGATCTAGGGCATAACACTTACAAGGTAGACTAGCATGTGAAGGCAAGTGGGAACTTGGAAGGCAATGATTATTCTTGGAAGGCAAGGTGCAACTTGGATTGACTTGCTTGGCACTTTGTCAGACCAGGTGGGGAGCGCTCGGACCCTGGCCAGTTGGAGGCACATCCTGCGATTAACCGGACTGTGTGAAGAGGGGCCGGATCACAGACCCAAAGATTAGTCTAGAATAGAACACCTTGTAAAAAAAAAAATAAAAAAAAAAATAAAAAACTCACAAAGAGAATAGTGATCAGAGATTATTACTATTATTACGTCCGAAATTTTCCTCTCCGGCTGTTCAAAATGACATCCTTGCATCATTCACAACCGACACATAACTATTCCTTATGGTGCAATTGGCGCTAATTTTGTTTTATCTGCTTTGAATTTGATCACCTTTTCGCGGATCTAGGGTTTGAGATCTGGTTCTGATTTGTAATTTTCGTGAATCCAAGGGCTATACTACTCAATCTCGTTTTAGTTCTTTTTGTTTTTGGTGTGTATGTTGTGGTGGCGTTAAGAATTCATTTGAGAAAATGCGGGGGAAAGGTGCGAATGCGTCGATTAGGGATCGGACGCAGGAGTTTCTGGGCATAGCGGAGAGGGTAAAGAAGTCATACTCCTCGCAAAATGGGCCTAGCAGCAGCGGATCGAAACCTCTGGGACCGCAGACCATGGCGATGCAGTCGGAATTTAATCGTAAGGCGTCCAAGATCGGGCTCGGGATTCACCAGACCTCGCAGAAACTATCAAAGCTTGCGAAATGTAAGTAATTGTTTTCTCTTCTTTTAGTTATAGTTCAGATAATGGCAGAAAGAAAGAGAACTTATCATTATTTGGTCGGGTTTTGGGGGTGTATAGGACCTGCTTAAAGTTATGCTTTTGCAAAATTTCATTGAATTGGGTGTCCATGATTATGAATTTCGGGTAAAATGTTTTGTGTGTGTGTGTGTGTGTGTGTGTGTATTTATTTTATTTATTTATTTTTTTTTTTTAAATGGCGTAATGGAGAGAATTAGATTGGTTGTATTAAGGACAGGCGGCATTGATGACCAAGAAAACTCTGGTTGAAGTCCAAAATCGGATTGCTAAGTGTTTACAATGCCAATGCTAAGGAAGAGAAATTATATGACCATAAAGCTGATAAGTCAATAGGCTATCTCCTTTTTCCAGCATCTGTTTGGTGGTAACCCTACTTTGGAAAGAAACTTTTGGATATTATAGGAATACTTCGCTTCTTAGAAACTACCACATAAAGACAGGGAAGCCTTGGTGTGCCTTCATCACTAAGATGTTTTTCTTTCATGAGGCAAGGTTTAAGCTCGAAGCATTTTGAGGCATAAATCTCACTGTAAACCAGAAAAATGTCAAAAAAGTATTAAAATGTAAAATAAGCTCATAATGAATCACAAGCAATCTTTAAAATTCACAATATAATTATTTAATGTTTGCAAAGGATCAAAAGAAAAATCTATATAAAAATAAACTATAATTTAGTTGGTAGGGCAGTGGGCTATTCCCAAAGTGGTGCAGTCAACTTTTTCCAAGTGGGTCTATGAGAAACACAATTTTTTAATATTTTAGTGGGCATTAGGATACTTCCAAAATGAATCAATCTGAATTTTATGTTTTGTGGGCCACATTAAACCAAAGAATATGAGTATGAAGAATTAGAAGCATACCCCTCACAAGCCTTGAGGTGGTGCTGTGAGGTATGTACCTCTTACAACTGAGGCGTATGTCTCCCAGAAAACTTCCTCACAATCATTGCCTTGAGAGGCTTTTTTGCTGGCCTCACTCTGAGTCGGTCCTCAACTGGGTTTTTTTTTATGGTTTATAGTTAAATTCATCAGAAGTTAAGTATTATAATTAAAGAATTTGATTCTTCCCAATTTGTAGGTAAGATAGAAACTGATATCATGAGACTTTGTTGATCTTTACCATATCTTTCGTGATCGGTTTTCTCCAAATATCATTTTGATCTTCTACTTAGATGGTTTCTAGGCCTCTTACCTCAACAGAATGAGGGCTTTGGCTTTGCCCTATACCCTAGTATAATGATTTGCAAAAGTTTTACAAAGGAGGGGGACTTTAATGAACCTTACCTCCATGGAAATGCAACTAAACTTAAGAAAGCAATCTAGTCTATACATAAGTTATGTTCGCAGGTAAAAGAAAAAAGGAACAAGAAACTAAGGCTAGTTAAATTTTTTATGTTTGACAAATGCCATTTATCTAGCGTAAGAAATCTATTAATCTCAGCAGTTAACTCTTGTTTTTGCAAGAGCTTCAACTTTTGACCTTTGTACTCCTATTAGCTAAATGGTCGGCAGTGTATTCCCTTCATGCCAAATATGGAAAAAATGAATGTTGAGCACTGTCTATTTGGGGGTTTCTTCTAAATAGTATTGGACTTTCCTAGGTCCATCTAAAGCTTTTGCTCTTTGTACCTCGTATTAGCTAAATGGTAGGCAAATGTATTGTTTTCTTGCCAAATATGGGAAAACTGAATATTTATCTACTCCCCCAGTGGTGGATTTCTTCTAAATGGTGAACTTGCCGAGGTCCATCTGTGCCCTTCTCTATACGTTGAAGGGTGGAAAGCGAATCAATCTCATCCCATATTTGCGCATATCCAAATTGATTGCATAGCTTAAGACTTGTACATGGAGCTCTAATTTCTGCCTCCAAAGAAGAACATGAGCCATAAAAGCCATAATATGCTCGGAGAACCTTACCTACATGATTTCTTATTACACCCCCACCTACGGCTAGATTTGAGTTCCCTTTAAGTTATTCATCAGAGTTTAGTTTGACAGCACCCAAGAGAAGGTTTCTGATAAACCCGAAATCCGACGGAGATATCAGAGGCACAACAAATTAAGCAAGGGCAGTAAGGGAAATAACCAGGAAAAGGAAAGCACATGCAGCAGTTGCATGGTTATGGAAATCTGTTAGGAAATTTTGAGTGGCAACAGCTTATAAATAGAGGCAGCAGAGCATGGGATCAGCAGGCAGAAAATTGGTTGTCATTAGGAGAGTAGTGGACCTCTCGAACGTCCATCTTTGTCATTTTTTTCCTGTTATCTTGCATTCCAAATCTGCTTCTCTCGAAGCAGATTTGTTTCTTTTGTAATCAAAGATCAGCGAGGGAATATTTTAGTTCTATTTCAGTTCATCAATTACTCTAAAGTTTGCTTGAAATTATTTCGGGTTCTTATCAGAAACCTTTTAGGCCAGAATTTATTTTCTTTTGGCACAGTTGGCCTTTCGTCTATCATGTTCCCTTTCTTGAGAGTCACTCAGGTGGATTAGTGTGTGGCATGGTCAAATAGATAACTTATTTGTTCAATTTTACTGCAGTGGCTAAGAGGACCTCAGTTTTTGATGATCCCACCATGGAAATTCAGGAGCTCACAGCGGTTATCAAGCAAGATATAACCGCACTTAATTCTGCTGTAGTTGATCTCCAACTTCTATGCAACTCACGGCATGGCAATAGTAATATTTCGAGTGACACCACCACACATTCTACTACAGTAGTTGATGATCTGAAGAATCGGTTGATGAGCGCCACAAAGGAGTTCAAGGAAGTATTGACCATGAGGACAGAGGTGATCCTAGATTTTTTCTCCTTGTGTTCTAATAACGAATTTATTTTTGCACTTCCATATTCTGGACGAATGGACTTACTTTATATCCTGTTAAAATATTTCATTTAGATGAACAACATTTTCATGGCTTGTTTACAGAACTTGAAGGTTCATGAAAACAGGAGACAATTGTTCTCTTCTACTGCTTCCAAGAATCCAGCTAATCCATTTGTTCGCCAGCGACCTTTGGCTGCAAAGCCTGCTGGAAGTACTTCAGCTGCCCCTGCTCTTCCATGGGCTAGTGGGGGACAATCTTCATCCCATCCGCTCCCTAAGTAAGAACATAGTTAGCCCTTTTTGAGCCCCATTTTGGGGAAGAGAATGAATTTTTGAATAGTATATTGATGGGAAATGTGTTGTTAAAAAATAAGGAAAAATTTTGGATTTGTGTGTAATATTATTTTATTATAAAATATGTGATTGAAATGATGTTAAAATACTATTGAAAATGCATTTTTTCAAAAGAATGAGGCTCAAACAAAGGCTTAATATTTTACAGCCAATGGTTTCTATCTACACTTACGACCTAGATAAATGGAATATGATTTACTAGTAATTTTTATGTACGTCTGGGGGAAGAATGTGGTTTAATAGGAAGTTTATTTAATGCTCTTAGTTGATTAAGTACAAAATAATCAGTCAGGGGTCTTCAAAACAAGGGTTTTGGTTGAGTTTTTAATATTCTTGATTGAGATAAACTGATCCATTTGCAAGCAAACCTTATTTTCTTTAACTCCAGCAACAGGAACCAGAAGGATGGGGAGACTCAACCATTAATGTCACAGCAGCAGCATCAGCAACAACAGGAATTGGTTCCACTACAAGATAGCTACATGCAGAGTAGAGCTGAAGCTCTTCAGAACGTGGAATCAACAATTCATGAGCTGGGCAATATTTTTAATCAGCTTGCTACCTTGGTTTCTCAGCAAGGAGAGATTGCTATCAGGTTTTCGAATGAAAGCTATCTTATTGCATTCTAGAGGGTGTTTGAGAGACATTTTTATGTAAAAATGCATTTTTGAATAGTAAATTGATGGGAAATGTGTGGTTGAAAAATAAAGAAATTTTTTTGATTTACGTGTAATATTATTTTAATAAAGAATATGTGGTTGAAATGAAGAGAGAGAAATGCATTTTTAAAAAAATGGGTACCAAACGGGACCCTATTTCATCAGGAAATGTGTGGTTTAATGACCAATTGATATCAATATTTAACTCAGTCTGCACAATCTTAACTTCCTGTTATTTAGTAGGCAAAAAAGTGATAGATGAGCTAGCCAATTGGTAATACATCAAATGGCATGATGTATGATCTATAACGGTTACTTTGACCCATCTGGATATTGAGAATATAGTAGCATTGATCCAGCATAGTGTTGTTAGTATTTGCGTATATATTTATTTGGATGGAATTAAGGCATTGAGCCAATATATATTAATGCTTTCCGTTTTGTGGAACTGGGGAGAGATATGGTATATTGCCCTTTACTAGTTTGTTCTTTGGTACCTTCATAAATTATATATGATCGAATGACTCGGTTCTTTCTTCTAACGGTGATTTTGAACTTGATAACAATTGTTGTCATGTAGGATTGATGAGAACATGGACGATACACTGTCAAATGTGGAGGGAGCACAAGGGGCTTTGCTCAAGTATCTCAATAGCATCTCTTCAAACCGGTGGCTTATGATCAAGATATTCTTTGTATTAGTTTTCTTTCTCATGATTTTCCTATTTTTCGTGGCATAGTTAATGATCCCGAGAGCTGTCTCACAACATTATATAGTAAGATAATGATCGTGTGTATTTTGGACATTGGGGGGTCTCCTTTCGTGTTCACTATTGTATATGACAACGTTAATTGTGCAAGATTGTGGTATAATAGGGTGATTTCCAAAGAGAGAAATTTACTAATACTGTAGGGTTCAATGGAAATTTATTTGAAAAAAGATATTGTTTGAAGAAGTTTATTTAAATCTAGCCCTGACGACTAATGAATCGTGCATGGTTCATCATAAACTGCATATGCAGCATGAGCATTGTACTCATCACCGAAAATGGTGCAGTTTATCAAGTACCAAGTAACATTTTAGGTGCAGTTTGTGAGTACATATATATTAATCCGACATCTTAGGGGTGTTGAGTTGGGAAAGTTGCTCGCTGGCTGGTTTGGTTTAGCTTGTGTTCGAGCCGAATTGAAAAATTGCATGAATTGAGTCATACGTCGGTTTAGCAAGCTGAGCAAATTGGTTTATTTCATTTAACACTCTTAGATGTAATTATTCGTCCCATTTAACATCCTAGACACAATTGAAATAAACACGTCTCCAATTGAAATGAAAACATACATATCAAGTATATGTGTGTGTGTGTGTGTGTATTTATAAAGTGTGAGAATAACAATTGCAGTTTCTTCTCGAATTGTATTTTTGAAAATGAAATTTTATTTCTAAAATTTACAATGCCAAAGGACTCACCTTGAAATTGGTTGGACGGGATTGATTCATTTTCTAAAAATGCCATAGGACATTCCTTAAAATTGGTTGGATGGGATTGAATCATTTTTTCAAATTGCAATGTGTTTATGTAAACAATCAGAAAGTTTTATTTCAAATGAGCTAATAAAAAGGGCGAACAATACATATGATTTAACATGTTGGACACATGCTCAAGATGTTATACTGGATGTTAAACGAACACTACATCAAGCACTCTCAATTACAAATGAAGGGATATGCATACCGACCTTATTTATGGTGGTATAATATATAGATTGTATCAACACTAACATCCCTCACAAACTCAAGGTGATGTCTAATATATCAATTGGAGTTCATAAATTAAATCATGGTGGTGACTAGTGGATGAGCCTTCTTAAAATATCAACCAACTGATTAGTTATACATTAATATACACGTGGATATAATTAAATTTTGTCACAGAAATTTTAACTCTATACACTTTAATTTGTTAATTAGACTAGATCAATATTGACATCGTTCTTATTTCATTATGTTCGCGAAATTATTTGTTCCGATTTGAAATCTACCGTAAGTGTACAGTTCGTTAACAAGTAGTAAAATGGACTATGAGTCCAAGTATCGATCCCACGATAATTGAATTAATTCAAATTAACCTATTATGACCTTAACCGAACCACAAAAATCAAATTGATGTTTTGTACTTTAACTAGAAAGATGTAAACTTTGATGCAAGTATGAATGAAAAGTTATACTAAATGCAAAATAACTTGGATGCAATTTAACTCGAATTTATGGATTTAATGAGTACACTAACGCACTAGGATCACGAATCCCCAAGCAATACCCGTTCAATTGTCAATTATGCAACTTTGACACACAGTTCCACAAAAGATGAATCAATATTCCTATTTTAATTTAGCAATCTCTCTTGAGCAATGCCAAACTTATTCCAATATATGATTCGACTATATTTCTATGACGAATACTAACATATCGAAATGCATTATAAATTCACGAATATCCAATGATTCACACAAGGCATAGAGGTATATTTCTATCCCCTATCAGACTCTATGATGATTTATATTATGTCGAACTTATTTTCATTCTTTCGAATGCATAAAACAGGCCACCACAATCATATAATTATGTGCACAATAATCATATGAAAATAAAAACGTAATAAATCAATCAAATCCGGAACTTGTGTTCAAATACGTCAAAAATCCAAATCAACAATCAAACGTAGTATTACAAGGTTCATCGATCTCCTAACAATGATAAATCTAGCCTAACATGCTAAAAAGAAGAAAAAATGAAAATATTTGAAGAAACGTCATCACCCGAATCAATCTTCAATCCAATCTTCACTTGGCGCGATGTTATTCTCTTGTTTTATCCTTCGTTTCTCCTTCAACATCTCTCAAAAGTATGTAAAAACGGCATCCCCTACGTTCTGGTTGAGTTTTTGTTTATATAGGACCCTAAAAATCTTGTTTCCATAAGAGTTTCGAAAAAAAAAGGATACTGCAATTTTACCCGGTATTGCTCTATGCGACCGCATAGAGCAACTCTATGCGGTCGCATAGAGTAAAAATATTTGGCCATTTAAGCTTCGGTATGCCTCTATGCGACCGCATAGAGGATAGCACTATGCGGTCGCATAGTGCTACCAACTATGAGAAATACTCATTTTGGTCCTCCTACTTGAATACTTCACTTCTTGGTATCTCTTCTTCATTCTTTCCATTCCATCATCCCAAGATATCTTCAATTGGCAATTGGCTTAATCAACTTCTCGATTTGTTTATCGGGTCAACTTTTAGATAATTGCACTTTGGTCCCTGAACTTTCACTTTGCGTCATTTTAGTCCTTTTCGTGTCTTTTCTCTTGAATTTCACCATGTTCATTGTTGTTCCCTACAATTCACAAACTTACGAGATTAAGTCACAACTCAATCATTTTACTCGTTATTAAGTCATGTTTGTGACCTAAATAAGTGTGCAAAAACACACTTATCAAACCCCCCAAACTTGAACTATTATTTGTTCTCAAACAAGATAGTGACTTAATTCTGAACAAACATGGCTTAATACCTTGTTGTGGCTCAAGATTGGACTGAGTATTTAAAAACTTTATCTGTGCAAACATGACATCAACCTTTACCTGTTAAATGCAAATTGACGTGTGTGTGTGAATTCATGCCAACATATCAGGTTCATGATGAATTGAGTCCCGAACCCAAGTGGTCAAATATATCCTTACTCGCTCGAGAGATACACAACCTCCCAAACTTATTCATTTCACTCAATTATCCCGGGGTTGTGTTTTAAGATTAGGAATTTATATAGCTGTAGTCCTCACCCTCTCGTAGTTTGAATTTAGCATCACTATCACAAGTCTACATTTCAAAAAGTAAAGGCTCTCCTAGATTTGATTGCTTCGACACTTAAAATTAAACTAAATTACTTATCTCGCATCAGAGGTATAGTCTTTTCAACCAAATTTCTAAGGGCTTTTCGTCATGTTTTGTCTCTCTTTTGTTTTCTCACCTTTCTTTAATTTCTGATTGATTGTCATCTTCTCATTTGTTTTCTATATAACCCATGTAACGAGCTTTAGGCCGGTGATTCTCAAACCAGTTGGCTTTAGGGCACCAGGTTTTAAACCCTTTCAAGCTTATTCATTCGAGTTATAAATGCTCGATAAGATGATTTTTTATTAACTTCTTTCCCTCTTGTTTTCTATATGACCCATGTATCGAGCTTTAGGTCAGTGACTCCCAGGCCAGTTGGCTTTAGGGCACCAAATTTTGAAATATCCTTACAAGCTTACTTGCTCGAGTCATAAATGCATGAAAAGAAGTGTTTTATTCTCACATATTAAAACTGTGCCCTTCTTCATTTTTTCTAGACATTTTAGTTTCCAAAATCAACCCCTAATTTAAGATTTTCACCTACTTTTCATCCCACTGGTCTAGGCAATCCACACAATAAATTTCATGCACGGAGCCCCTGCTCATCTCACTGCTTTCCTATAATAGCTCAACTATCACCAAACTGTCTTAAGGTAGTTTATGGGTTAATTTAATAGAGGGTTATCATTCTTTTCCTATGTTATGCCCAAAATTTAGTCATTCTCCTAATATGTCAAGCATGAATAGCGTGCATAGATAATGTCAAGTGTTGCATCAACAAGTATCACTTAGTCTAATTAACACCAGATCCAAAGTTTTGCAGTTTAAACTAGTCCAATAATATCATCACAGCTAACAAGGTTATCAAACCCACACAAGCATTCATGAAGAAAATTTAAAATAACTGAATATAATGCAAAAAATAATTTATTATTTTTTTTGGCATTCGTCATGTATACATTATGCAGTAATAGAAAACATTGGAAAATATATAATGATGAACACAGATAGAGATTTAAAATTATGTCACCCTCCCCAAACTTAGTTAATACATTGTCCTCAATGTAAGATTAACAAAAGATTAAAGATATAATTTTAAGGACAAAATAAAGACGAGAAATCAAAATGGGGAAAACAGTACTCCCCTTATCAAAATGGTGGTTGTGACGGAAAGCTGGGCCCAGCATCATCATCTCCAAGAGGGGAGGAAAGGCGGGATAAAATCTCTTGCAACATGGCAGACTGCTGGGTCTGCTCCACCTGCATGGCCTGAACCCTCGTCTCCAAACTCCCTAGACGGTCCCAAGACTTGTTTACCCGCCACTGTATACCGTCCATCCGGCCAACATACATGCCCAAACGCCCATCAAAGGTACTCATCTGTTGGCGTGTCGCGATGGATTCAATGCTGGCAGTGGAAGCAAAGTTTCGTGTAGATGCCATATCCGTCTGCACCTGCTGGATGGTGGTAGTCAGTACCCCAAAGGAGTGCTGAAGCTGCTGCATGTCTCGGCTGTGTCCAGTCATAGTGGCAAACATCTGCCTAAATAACTGGGTGTCCACGTCAGCCGGTGGTGGTGGGGCCTGTGGCATTTCAAAGTCCTCAGCTGTTGGCCCTTCTGCAGCCTGTTGCTATCGCCGGCGCTCGTTTTCCAATTTCTGTTGATGTTTAATTCTGGCTCGGTCCTGGGCCTCGAGTGTGAGGTGTTTGATAAATGGACTTGGTTTCTCCGGTGCCTCCCCTGGCTAAACTTGTATGTAGGCAGCTCTACAAATTCCACTTATCAAACTCGGGAAAATTAGTGAGGTGTCCCTGTCACCCCATGCACCTGTAACGTGTATCTGATTGTAAATGTAAGTGGCCAAGTCAATCTTGTTGCGCCGAACTAAGTGATAGATGAAACCCGCCTTCTGATCTGTGAATGTCATCCTATGGGAGATGGGCTCGATGTTGTGGCAAATGAACAACCATGGGATGACTATAGAGGGAGTGATGCCAATCTGATACCAATCAGCAGTAAGGAGTGGCCAAGCATTTTCACATCCCAATAAAACTTCTGCA